ACCACTTTTCCCTTGATAAGTGGACTTATATGTGCTTGATGCAAATTTTAGTTCCCGAAGTTGCCTTACCCAGTGTCTGTTTAAAACTTCTCAAAGGCTTGGAGACCAGTTTGGTATCTAGAGGGATCAGGGAGCATTCACCCTTTTGGTTCGGTTGTAATATTTGCCAGTGGGTAAAACAACTATTCCCACTCCATGTTCGCCCCAAGGAACACCTTGCTGGAGGAGAAAAAGCGTCTAGAATCGGCTATGATGCATCGCGACGAGGAGTTGGAGGAAGCGCAGACGGCCCGTGAAGAGGCGGAGGATCGCTACAAACGCACTCTTAGTCTGCTTGAACAGGCTCAGGTCGACTTGGGTTTGGAGCGCACCAACGCGCAACGCATTGAAACTCAACGCGCTACCTTCGAGAAGCAGATTAAGGAATTGCGTGAGAAGCTGGCCGAGCAGGAGCGTGACAGTGGCAAGCGACTGAAGCTTCAGGTTGCAACGATGGAGGAACGTCTGGCTGCAATGGACGAGCAATTAGAGAATGAAAACAAGGAACGACAGAATGCCAATCGTGCTGCTCGTCGTTTGGATAAGCGTCTCAAAGAGGTTTCGCTGCAGGTATGCGAGTTCCATAAGTATTTAGTTTCAACTCATTGTTCTAGCAGAGCATTAGTCACCCACATGCACAAAGCAAACACTGTTGAAGGGAAGTCATTCCTCTCTGATTGGTCCACTTTCTTTTGTCACTCCTATGCCCACACGATTGCCAATGGTTGTTGTGGTGACTGTAAATTTCTAGCAAACGAAAAGTCCACTCTATCGTCATCTTTGCAAGAGATATCGAGGGAGGTGCGTAGACAGTTAAAATGAATTTAATTTGCCCTGGTGAATGATGTGACAATGTTTTAAACTCTGGTCGTGCCTAACTGTTCATAGCAGGGTCTACTCACTCTACTTCCTATGTATGTACTGGAAAAGGGCGGGTTGGAAGGGTTGCATACTACTTTAATATTTTTACGATAATCATTCTATAGAAGACGATACCTGGCTTCTTCGCAAGCCCATTGCAATTTTACACTGTTTTTGTCACCACTGAGGCGATCCACATAATCTGTCCTACATTGTCAGTACCCCTTCGCTAATCATTAGGCTACTCACTCCCTTTCCAACTGGAAGATGAACTTTTTAGTGCTTGATTTTGGCTTTTTCACAGAAATACAGCTACTTGTTAAAGCTAGCGTCGGATTGTGTCTATATTACCCAGAATAAACATTTTCTTGCCATTCTGTTGGAATGGTTGCTGAATTTCGTCTTGACAGCATAACTGCCACGCTAGGGTCGTCCATTGATGAACTGTTCTACGACTCTGGAGTGTCGCTACAATTTCCATGATTTATTACTGCAGGACCACGCATATAAATATTTTGTAAAATTGAATGTCTGCGGATTTCGCACCTCTTTCAGATTAAGCTGTACTACCACATAATTTTGTACATGTATTACCATCACCACCTTAGTCAAAGACGCTTGGGCTGACCCATAGCGTAGCTACTGATATGGACCACGTACAGGCCGGTTCCTCTTTTTACCATATGTTAAGCTAGAGGTTTTAATTGAATTTGAGGCATCCACTTACGTAAAAGGGTGTCGAATCTTTCCTTGGGGCGGCGTTGAATGTCTTTTTTATTTTCGTTAGCTGGAAGAGGAGAAAGCATACGTGGTACAACTGAAAGACCAGCTGGAGAAGACGCAGACAGCCTGCAAGCGAAACAAGCAGAACCTGGAAGCAATGGAGGACGAAGCAAGCAATTTGAGAACGCAGAAGCGTCGTATCCAACGTGACCTAGAAGAGACCACTGAGCAAAAGGAGGCTTTTGAGCGCGAGCTCCAAATGCTGCGTGCAAAACTTAACCGGTATGTGGACGGCAGTAATGTTGCTAATGCCTACCCTCCTACTAATCATCAGTTTAAACCCTTTTCACAAGGTGAATCACGTAGGTGTCCATTATTGAAAATGTCACACTCCCACTCCTCCTCCTCATTCGATTATGAACGTCGTTAAGCGATATTTTGTTTTAAATACAAATATTCTACCTCGATAAATGCACCTTGTCTTAACAGCCAAACGTGGTATGCGGGTGGTCGTTGCGACGCTGTCCCTCACTTTCCATTCTACAGGTGAAGCATTTGCTTGTGCGCGTGCGCAAGAAGCCAAGTGTAGCAATAGACACTATATTAATAAGCTTCCATGCAGCTCTTTGGCTTTACTGATTTTGTTTCATCTGCATGCTCGCGCTGACCACCACCATGTAAACGATTGATCCTCCAGGTTCTCTTCCCGAACATTGGATGCACTCAATGGCGACTCGGACCAGGAATCCTTTGATATCTTGTAATTTTCATGTTGGCATTGCTGGGTTTGATGTTTGTGCCGTTGTTGTTTTTTGTCGCTTTACTCTAGCTTCGCGCTTCCCTTCTGCTTATTTTTCGGTGTTACTCTGAATGTATGTGGGTTTTTGCGGGAGATCAGAATGTTGGTTAGCTGATTTATTAATACTGCTCTATTCTTTTACTTCTCCGGTTTTTCTCCAGGACATCCTCTCATCTTTGTGACGGATAGACGGTAATTCGTCACAGTGTTGTCTGTTCACCCATGTCTGTTTCTGGCTGCCCGAGGGCGTAATTGCATTTTTTTTTCTTTCGTACATTTCTGTAATCTGGTGACAGATTAGTCGATTACTTTCACCATTTTGCCATTATTTTAAGCATTTGCGTGCGTGTGTAATAGTCCGCTTCCTTTTTTTTTTTCAATGTTGGCTGGGTCAAGAGTTTAGTTTTATTTCATTAATTCATGTTTTTATGCAGTGGCACGCGTAGCGCCCACAGGGGATCAACTGGTACCTCCCGTCCCTCAACTCGGACAGGTGGAGGCACCCCTGAGGACGCCCAATCTGGTGCTGATGTTGATGTCTCGGGATCCAACGAGGGCACCCTCAACGAGACTACCAACTCCACTACTAAAAATAATTCCACAAAATCGCCTTGAGTGATCTCCGCCCTTTCTCCTATGCCTTTCCAACCGTCTCATCTCATTCCCTCTTGCGTTATTAGCCCGACTTGAATCTTCGCGCTTCACTTCTGCTGCTGCCGCCTGTCCTGGGAGGAGAAATGAGGTAGGGCATTGGGACAATGTTGCTCTTGGTTTGTTGTCTCATATCTCACTCCACTCTCCCAGCTCTGGTTGATTGTACATGCTGACATTGGTTTTCGTGTCCACTGTTTTGCAGACGCTGCTGCAATTTCTCGTGTTACTCCCATGTTTTCTCCCTCAACCACTCACGCTCATTGTCCTGCTCCAGCGCCAGCAGCAAAAAATAACCTTCTTTTATAAAAGTTGCGAGTACAGCGCGACGTCTGTTGCACTCGCCTTGCCTCTGCTGTCGGCTTTTCACTGCTAAGAACTGTCCTCGCCTCTTGCACCACTCCGTTGCCCTATTTTGCTCCCTTCCAGTTGCTCCACCTATTTCTCTTACCATCCAAACAAACCCGTCACAACGGTCTCCTTATTCACATTTTTCTACGAGAAATATGTTTTCGGAAGGTGAATTGTTGTTTTGTTTGTGTCTGGTTGGATATAGAAGCGACTTGAACCTTCTACGTTTGACGAGGTGCTATTTGATTTCGGTCCAAATAGTCGAATGCGTCTCGGGCTTCCATTAAGACGTGCAGATTGTTGAGTGCTCTTATTTACCGCTATTATTGGTTGGAATTTAGTGCTCTGGTCAACAACATATAAGAAAAAAAATGATCCAAGTTTGCAAGTTATGCACTCGGGATTATAATAGAGAACTTTCTATATTATCTCCATTGGTCATCTCACTTGTATGGCGCCTAGGCATTCGCATTTTTGCCATTTACAGCCACATAACGCGATATTAGTGCTGGCGCTTTGTTCCTCGTTATCCTTCCGAGATGTGTCAAGTGTCGTTGAATTAAACGCGACCTTGGCCTTAGTGTACCTTGTTAACCACTTGTTTCGATGCGACGATACATATCTCACTGTTTAAAGTTGTGTAGATCGACGACTTGATAGGCAAGCAGGTTGTAGATGTTGATGCATTTCGTTTGTTTTCCTGAAGTAGGTTCTTCAGTCGTCTGTTGATTAGGTGTCAGTTGGTCTTCAGCGTCTGACGTTAGGATAAAGCTGATACTTGCGTATCGGCTGGTGATAATCGAGATCGACCTTGTCAAATGCTTTACGGTTAACACGGAAAATATACTTTCTTAGTCATGATAAAAGTAGTTAAATGCTTACTGGCACTTTTATAAGCGATAGGCGATGGAAGATCACTAAGCAAGGACGACGCGCAGTAAATTGTCTGAATTACTTATTCGACTTCGATTCTTCGATGCCAACAAATGTGCCATTTCGCGGTTAAAGACGCTTTGGAAGTGTACACAATCACAACACCGTGAACAGTAGCAACTGGCCTTGATTGATCTATTGGGATACCATAAAGATTTGGTTACCCAGGGTGTCCGAAATGAGCCACTAAGAAACCAATAATCCCTTTATTAAGTCAGCAGTACACC